GACACCATATTGGGGCTAATTATATATTACCCCCTTTAGTTAGACCTATTTAGCATCTCGATTCTTAGATTTAAAAAATTTATATTTGACTCCCTATGGTTATGCTAATGCTATCGATTTTACCGATAAAAGTACGAAAATGATGAGCAAAAAGATAATTTTGATATTTTAGTTTTTTTTTTTTTTTTTTTTTGTGGTGATGGATAGCAGCAACACCGCTAGGTGCCACCGGTGATCATTGTGAATAAAAAGAGAGAGTGACGATAAGAGGTAAGGCAAAGGGAGAAGAGGAAGAGGACGATACAAATACCGACATAATTGTTGAGTGACACCGACGGAGATGTAGATCATTGACATCTACGTCATCTTCTTCCTCCTCTCCCTTTATCTCACCTCTCATCATCGCTCTTCATCTTCATCCTTAATAGTCATCCGTGGCCTCAGCGACATTGATGTCCGCTACCATCGAAAACATAAGGGAAAAAATCGATGACGATAGAGGTATATGTTTTACTTTCATAATATAGAAATTTCAATATAAATATTTTAAGTCTAGGAACCGATATACTAAAGAGGTCGAATTATAAGGGGTAATATGTAATTAGACCTATTATATTATATTGTATATATTTAGTTGTCATCGCTCATAAACTGTCATGGTATCATATTTTTAGGCTTACAATTGATTTGGTTGAGATTAGGAGTAGATTTTATAGTATTTTTAAGAAGATTTTATAGTGTTTTTACTATACTGATCAAAATTTTATAATAAGTTAATTTTTTATTTCTATTTGGGTTATGTTGTTCCTAACTATCATAAATACCTATTTGAATCATAGTATAATATATAAAATGATTTCTAATATGTTTTAATTTTATTTGACTAATTTTAAATATTTTAAAATAGGATTTATAGTATTTTTATTATGATGACCAATATATTTTAATAGACTAAAAATATTATAATAGGCTAAAAATACTACAAATAACAAGAGAAATTTTTTAGGAGTATTTCCCGTAACTACGGCGAAAAGTAAAAAAGAAATACTGATTATAAAAATATAATTATATAAATATTTTCTTTAAAAAATCATCCTATTTAAAATTATTGATTGCGGGGCGTAGTGCTTATGGATGCCGGATAACCTATGCTCAATAAACTTAGACATGCCATACTATATTTCAACAGTACAGTTTTGTTATCGTCTCTCACATTCTGTAGATTCATTGGCAAGATGTTAACTTTATTTAGCTATTTCCAAGATTTTGTCTTGTGATTCCTCCATCCTTCATGCTGCTGGTTATACAAAGTTGTTTCACATATTCTTTGAATTGATTCCCTGAAAGATTTTTCTAACTCAGCCAGCGAGTTCTTGAAGCCCTGTTTCCGAGACTACGTCATACGATGAGAAAGATGCTCGTGAGGGTCAATTAGATAGATGATATTCGACTTGTAGTAGTATGTTTCTCGTAGCTAAAGCTATCAGCAACTCACATCATCTCATGTGGGCCTAAAGACGAAGATGTGTTTGTATTCAATAATTTGATTCTAACTTTTCTAATGTTTCATGGTTTGTATCTAAATCCCTATCTTAGATGGTTTAATTTTATCAGCTTTTCATGCTAGAGTTGAAAACACTTAAGAGTCTCTCCCACCAAAGGTATCTCCTAAGAAATTTTATCATAATTAGACTTTTTTTTTATTGATCGATTAACATAATCAGAATCTAATTATATTTATAATATATCTTATCTAATTAGATAGGATCACATATTCTAAAAGGTTTGAGATGATAGCAAGGTCAAAATAGTAGACGTCAAAAGTAACGAAGGAGAAGGAGACGGCTACGATAGAATAAAAGCAAGATGGTTGAAGTAGCGAGATGCAAGTGATAGGATCGAAGTGATAAGACAAAAGTAACGAGACCTTGTAATATGACGAAATTTGTTGGTGTAAACAACTTTGAGTCGTGGCCTCGGGGCCGTCGCGGCTCAGTTCGGGTCTAAATGGCGGGGATCTTGCTCGGAGTCTCTCGAGGGTTGCCGATGTGGCCGGTCACAGGGGTCGGGTCACGTAGGAGCTCGTGGGGGCGTCCTGCGAGGAAGGGTTCCACTTTACGACGTTGGGAAGAAACAACTTCGTCTTCGTACCTACACACAGGTCGAGTCGGAGCCTCGGTCCGACCCCTCCGACGATCAAGTCAGTGATGTGGAGTGGTGTGGTGTTTTTCTCTGTGTCTTTGATCCCCCTCTCTCGTTTAGAACGCGAGAGTATTTATAGGGAAGTTTAGTGTTACCTGATGTGCTTGCCCGCAGGGAGCAGGATAGTACCTCTGATGGCATCTGACATCGTTGTTGGCGTGGCGTGAGGAATCGAGCTTGAGCGGTCGTTAATGGGTCTCGGTTGGCGTTTCGACCCGTGTCGGTAGGCGCTATCAGCCCGATAGAGACGTAGGGCGTCAACTAATGTCACGCAAGTCTTATCATAATTATCACCCTCATCAAAGTTCGATCGAGACAAGTTAATAATATTATAAATATAAATTAATCAATTAGAGGACATAGTATGTGTAAAGAAAAAGAGAAAAAAATAGAGGTGAACATGCAAGATCAATATGTTTTTATCTGAAATGGAGAAAACTATTGGACCACATTCTAGAATAGATGCTGCACGACATTTATAATTGTGCCACTTAGCTCTAAATCACTCATCTAATCCAAAACCAAATTGGATTCCACGACACATTTTTTAACTATTTTGATCACAATTTAATATAAAAGTTTTTAAAGACTAAATGTTACTCTCTAAGTATTACATCATAACTCATTTGATAAAGATTCTGGGGTGTTCGAGAGTGAGGGAAACTTTAGTGCCTTATTAGTCAATGTGGAACTAGAAGTCTATCAATTTAGAAAATCTTTAATATTTAAATTATCTCTCAGGTAATCGTCATATGCTAACAGATCACACAATCACTTATTAGATATTACGAAATGAATTATTAGGTTTCTTAAGATGTCATGTCGAACAGTAGTTAAGCAAAGAATCAGTCGATGTCATTTATGAAGTAGATTATGAAGGTTTATGGGATGTCATGTCGAAGACGAGTTAATGTCGTTTAAATGCTCATTAGATATTACAGAATTGATTATTAGGTTCAGTGGGATGTCATGTCGAACAGAAGTAAAGTCATTTAGATGCTCATTAGATATCATAGAATGGATTGTCAGGTTGTAGGATGTTATGTCGAACGGTAATCTAACGAATGAATGACGAGTCAATGTCATTTAGAAGTGTGCTATTTTAACCTTACATCTACGTTTCCTTTAGCTAACAGTTACGTGCAATAATGCTAGATTTCTCATGGCGGCTTGGGCTTAACTAGAGAGACACCAATTGTGTGGATGATCTCATGTGAATCCTACGAAAGTAATGTGTTACACATGTTTGTTGTTTGTTTTCAATAATTTGATCCTACCTTTTTCTTAAGGGTTTTTATATATTTTATCCTGATGACATATTTTGTCATTACAATTTTCAATAAGACATATATTTATGTCCCTCCTAATTTTCAATTATTTCTATCAATTTTCAAGAAGAATTTATGTCTCACTAAGAAATCAAGTTATTATATTTAGTGAACTCCAAGATTGTTGGGGAAGAAGAAAATTCTAATAATTAATAGTTAAATAATAAATCAAAAAATTGATAGAATATATACATGATTAGATATATATATATATATATATATATATATATATATATGATTTTTATTATTTATTAATATTATTTTATTATTCATATTCATCAATTCTTTCAGTGATTTGAGGAAAAAAATCTCTCGAATATAAAATGATAAAGGAGTATAAATCTATAATTTTTTAATATTAAATTTAAATTTTTTTACTTTAATTAATTTATTATTTTCTAAGAATCTTATATTACTAGATTCAACTATTTTTGTATTATAATAAGAGTAATAAGATCTATATCCATTGAATTTTGTTAGATAAACAATAAATATTTAAAAATAGTCCTTGCATCCAATTTTTTTCATGTAAATTGAAGACTCTTATTTTTACAAAATAATTTTCTTTTATGAGTTTATATAGCATTTATAAACTCAAATGATTTACGCTTTAACTTTCTTTTATTGTTATTCAATCCTTGAGTTGAATCCAATCTTTGAGTTGTACTTAAAATATTATGAGTATTTCCTATTTTAATTTTAATTCTTTCTAAATACATATACTAGTCAACTCATTTAAGTTTCATTTATCCTTAATTTTATTATAGTAAATTTTAAATGAGTTAAACTAAGAAGAAATAAAATTAAAAGTAAATTGTATAAAAAAGAATTCAACTATATTCATGCCTAAAATGCAATGTTCTTGAGGTTATTGTTTTGTTTAAATTCCTTAAATACTTTCACATCGAATTTTAATTAATTTTTTCATTAATATGTTAATTAGTGACTTGTCAATAAATTTAAATTGATCTTTAAAAATATTTCAGTGCGATAGTTATAAGCTATAATAATGTCTAAATATTATTAGTAATTATCATAAAATTAAGTTTTTTAGATTTTTTTATCATTTATTCTAAATACTTATTTTATAATATTCTTAGTAGTTATGTTTATGATCCTTTTAATTAGTTTGATTTAAATCAAACATACCTTGTATAAATTATATATAGTTAAATTATTTATATTAATTTAAGGATTGAAAAGATGAGATGGAAATGGTAAGATCGAAGCAAAGAATTTGATAATAAGATTTTGATAGAATATTAATCAAGAGATAATAAGATTTTGATAGAATAAATAAATCTTAATTTATCAATGATTCTTTTATACTATAATTCCTAAGAATTAATTAAATAAGACTCGAAAAATACTTGACAATCATAACAAAATTTCTTTCTCGACAATGACTGGGAGCAAGCATTTCCAGCTTAGGTTATTCTTTTGATGAAAATTCTATCATCGTATTTAAGTGTGCTCGAGGAACCACCACTTGGGGCATCGAGTCTTCTTCCCAGAGTGCCGAGGCCTTTTCCCTGATCGTCCTCGAGAGATGGCAATGGTTCTGGATACTTTCGTTTCGAGATACGTCAACGATGTGGCAGCTTTCGTGGAGGGAGAGATATGCAAAGTGCTGGGCGTGAAGAAGGAGATCAAGGTGCTGGAGACGATCGGATGTTTCCTCCAGGATGCCGAGCAGAAGAGCCGCAGCGGGGATCCCGGCATGGAGCTCTGAGTGAGGAAGCTGAAGGAAGTCATGTACGACGCCGACGACGTCATCGATCTGTGCGTGATGGAAGGGGGAAAACTCTTGGAGGTTCGGCCGTCGGCATCAGCCTCAGGGGTGGTAAGCCTTCCTTTCAGCTTCGTCTCTTCCTGCTTTCGGTGTATCAAATACCGCCATGAGATCGCAGGCCAAATCGAAGCAATCAATGATAGGCTGAAACGAATAGCGGCAGAAAACTCCATCCTTCGAAATCTACAGCCCGCAAGCCAACAACTCCACCCTAAAAAACCACCTCCACCACGTGAGACGTCTCCCTTGGAAGTTGAGGAGGACATTGTGGGGGCACAAATCGAAGAAGCTGCCGACGATCTAATCAATCTCATGTTGGAGAACACCGAACAAAAGTGTCGTGTTTTTGGGATTGTTGGAATGGGTGGAATCGGGAAAACTACTCTAGCAAGTAAAATATATAATGATGAAAGGATCAAAGCAAACATTCCTATCCTAGTGTGGTTGTATATCTCAAAGGATTATTCGGAGATCAAGTTACTCAGAGTGTTAATTCGGTGTGCAGGAGATGAAACCAAAGCAGAATCTTTTGAGGGAGAAAGCAGAGCAGAATTGGAACCCAAACTTGCCTCGCTCCTTACTGAAAATTTATTTCTCGTGTTGGATGACGTGTGGAATCCAAATGTATGGACTGATTTCCTGAGGAAACCACTAAGTAAAGGAGCAGGTAGCAGCACGATCTTAGTTACCACTCGAATCGAAACAGTGTTAAGTGGTATGAAAGCCAGCTATATGCACCGAGCTGAGAAAATGGATGATAACAGCGGGTGGAGGTTGCTTGGGAAGACAGTATTCGAAGCTGGGGAGGAGGATGACATGCGTAGGTTGGAGGAAGTAGGTAGGAAAATTGTTAGAAAATGTGATGGACTTCCTCTTGCTATCAAAGCTATTGCAGGGGTTCTAATTTCCAAGGACAGAAGCACAGCGGAGTGGGAACAAGTCCTCGAGAATGACGCATGGAGTCCGAACCGGCAGATTGACGAAGAAGTTCCAAGGGCTTTGCACTTGAGCTATGAGGATCTACCATCACATCTGAAACAATGCTTTCTTTATTGCTCGTTCTTCATCTGCGAGTTGTTTCATTACAAAGATATTATTCGGTTTTGGGTCGCAGAAGGCCTTATTGTCGAAGCAGGAGGTAGGCTGATGGAAGATATAGCCGAGGAGTACTATTGGGAACTAGTTTCGAGGAATCTTCTACAACTGGATCCATCGTTTGTAGACAGGAGTGTATTTTGCATGCATGACCATGACCATTTACGAGCGCTCGCTACATACTTGATGAAAGAAGAAGGACTTTCGATTACAGTTGGTCAAAGATTAGATATAAAAGCCAATGCAAAGATTCGTCGGTTGTTGATATCTAACATGGGAATAAAACTAGTACTGTCGGATCACATCTTAGAAGAGAAATGTTTGAGAACTTTAGTGATCAGAGACTCCCTCCCAACCATCACAATTGAGGATAACGTACTCGAAGGGTTACCAAATTTACGAGTATTGGATCTTTGCGATACATCAATCGAAAGAATTCCAAATTGCATCGGAGATCTATTGCACCTAAGATACCTAGATCTTGACAGAACAAAGATTCATGAGATACCGGAATCAATAGGACGCCTTGTAAACCTTCAAACTTTGAATATCTCAGGATGTAAACACTTACATAGGCTTCCCATGACCATCACGAGGCTATACAATTTAAGAAGTTTCGTTATTAAAGACACTCCTCTAACTCACGTACCGAAGGGAATCGAAAAATTGATAAATATTAACAGACTCGAAGGATTTGTAATCGGTCACGACAATTCGACGAACGAGGTGGACGAGGTCGGGTGTGGATTAGAGGAGCTACAACATCTTTCCAAGCTAAGATATCTGAGCATATACAGGCTAGAGAGGGCAGTGACGGCAGCTTCGGCACTAGCGGAGAAACGTTCTCTTAGGGAACTAATTTTAAGTTGGATGCCACCAGTAGATGGGGAAGATGGAGATGCCACCGATAGTGGTGAGGATAGAAGAGCAAACCGGAGAAAGGAGGAGCAAATCCAGATGAGAGCCGAGAAGATATGTATTGAACTCTCTCCTCCTTCAAACTTACGAACTCTTGTCATCGGACAATTCCCGGGTCGACAATTCCCAAATTGGATCATGTCATCCTCCCTGGGCAAATCATTCCCTAACCTGGTCCAATTGGAGCTTTTGGTGTTCCCATCATGCACAGAGTTCCCTCCTCTCGGCATGCTGCCCTTGCTGAAAATTCTTCGGATCAAAGGAGCCACAGTGGTCAAAACCATTGGGCCCGAGTTTCTCGGCCACAGTTTCCCTAGAACTTGTGCATTTCCCAAACTTGAGCATTTGAATATCAACGACATGCCCAACTGGGAAGAATGGTCACTATGCGGGGTGGAGGAAGGTGGTCACAGAACACACCTGAAACTGTTTCCCAATCTAACGAAATGTTTTCTCCAAGACTGTCCCAAACTGAGAGCTCTTCCGGAAGGCCTATCCCACGCTACCAACTTGAAGGAATTGTACATTTGGAGAGCTCACAACTTGAGAGAAGTCACAAAGCTCCGCTTGAGTGACCTGCTCGTCAGAGACAATAAGATGTTGAGCAGAATATCCAACGTTGCCATGAAGTATCTGAAGGTGATGGATTGCCCCAGTCTAGAGTACGTGGATAATCTCGACAAGTTGCAGCACGTGGTCCTGATATGTCCGGAACATATGGATCAGCTTCCTCAGTGGTTATCCCGCTTAATTGATCAACAGCACCCAAATTCTGCACAATGGGGCTTCCGCAAACTTGAAGTGCACTGCAACATAGTGCTGCTAAGGAGCTGTCTCGAGGGCAACGAGCATTGGAACATCATCCAACGGATTCCAGATGTCAAATTTCAAACTTTTTCCAAAGAATACATGCGATACATCAAGGATCCATATAAGTATGACACAAATGTACCTCCAGAATAAGGGCATTGGTCTTCCTTGTAAGTCATTTTTCTTGGTTCTATCCAATAACTTAGCTATATATGTGTGTGTATATTCTCTTAGTTCTTATGTTGATTTCTTTGCAGGGTCAATGAAA